GGGCTATGTAGTGAGTTCAAGGCCAGCCTGAACTACATAGTGAGACCCTGTCTCAAAAACAAAACAACAACAAGAGGATGGCAAACTGATTCTAAAATGTATGTGAAAATTCAAAGGACCTAGAAAGGTCAAAATAAATTTTAAGAGAAAGAACAAAGGTTGACAACTAAGTGATTTTAACCCTTCCTCTAAAACAAACTAATCAAGATGATTTGCTATTAGCATATTAGATCAGCAGAGCAGAATAGAACAGAATCCAGATAAAGGCCCACATATTTATTCATATGGGGAAAGTGAATGTTGAGTCTTACATGACACCATATACAAAAACTAGAATAGACAGCAGATATAAACAGGAGCAAAAAACTAAAACTGTTAGAAGAAAACATGAGAAAAAAATCCTCATAATTTGTGGATAGACAAAGTCTTCTTAGATAAGGTACACATAGTAAAATGAATTTCTCAACCTTGCCTTAATTTAAAATGGAGGCTTATGAAGGAGTTTAGATTATTGCAACACATATAGTATAATATTTCCAAATGGATGCTATTGTTATCTCTACAGTGGGAAGGTGTCCTTACAGTGTATCTCATTTAGGCATCCCATTTGAAGGTCTTTATCTAGACACTCATTCCTATCTGTAGCAAGAAGGAAGCACAGAGACACATTTCTGATCATGGAAACTCAGTGTCCTCACCCATGATCTGTGTGGCTCAGGATTTCCTGGTCTTCAGAATCTTCAGCAGAAGCCATGCTCAACCCATATACAGAACTTGACCATTTCCTTTACCAAAAATCAGCCTCAAACTCAACCCATCTTGTCCACTTCCACTTACTTATGATACTGTACATTTCCTGCTACTCACTGAAAAAGACTTTATGTCTTTTATATGCTGTTTGTTTTTACTTTTCCCCACTTCTCCACTTGATTTATCTATCACTCCTGTTTCAACTGCCTCCATCCCTCAAAGCAGGTTGGCTGGCACTCTCTGCAAATGGCTCTCCTGGCATTAACCCAAGTACATAGTTGTTATCTACTCACCTGTCTGTCTACCACTAGTCTGTTCCTTTGGACATCTTTTTCCTCCATTGTACTCACCATTCTTAAACTATATAACATAAACACACACACACACACACACATACACACACACACACAGTCGGTGTGATGCAGAGTAAGAGCTTATTCAATGCCCAATAAATGAAATGAGTTCCACCTTCACTAGGGAGCTCAAGTTGTAAGAAATAAATTAAAAGCATGAATAAAAGTCAGCTTTAAAACAGCAACTCAGCTGAAACATAAAAAGCATTTATTTTCATCAAACAGTTCTAATCTTTAGATGTAAAACAAGAAAATCAGCTATTACAACCAGAAGATAGATGAAGAATATTTAACACAACCAGCTTGTTTCTAAGTGTGGCGCACTGGAGCCTGGCACCTCATTATGGAGGTACGAGCCATCTCTGAGAGCTCAAGGTTCTGACTTCTGAGCCAGAGGGAAAGTCACAAAATAATAATAGTACCACCAGGTACTATTTAGGGGCATGTGTTAAGTCAGCTTTCTGTTGCTGTGACAAAATACCCAAGAAAAACAACTTAAAAGGAGGTAAGGTTTATTTTAGCTTGTGGTTTCAGAGACCTGAGTCCATGGTCACCTGGCTCCACTGTGTATGGGCTCTGAGCATCATGGCAGGAAGCACACACAGAAGCAGAGTGGCCAGGAACAAAGGCTAGGAACAAAACACACCCTTCAGGACATACCTCAGTGACCTGCTTCCTCCAGCTGGGCCCCACCTCAAGTTTCCACCACCTCCCAATAATCCATTAAGCCAGGAATTCATCTGCTGATGGGGTTAGAGTCCTCGTGATCCAGTCACCTCTCCAAAGCCCCCCTTTGAATACTGTTGTGTTGTGTACCACCCCTGCAACACAGAGTTTTTTGGGGACCATTACAGGGCATGTCTTAGTTACTTTCTTTTCTTTTTTAATTAGCACATATTTGCAGTACATGCAGTTTACAAGCATGTTGGGGAGTGGGTACATACATGTATGTAGCACAGCTTATTCCTCTTCTTCCCTTCATCCTCCTCCCTTCTTCCTCCTCTAATTCTCCTTTTCCTATTTTCATTCTTGTTGATATTATTAACCTTAGCTCATGTTTATGGTACATAATGTTTATATGCACTGAGGTTATTAGGCTCCTGTATATGGCATATCGGTTACTTTCTTCATTGCTGGGACAAAGTACCCAACAGCCACAGTTGAAGGAAGGAGAGGTTTATTTTTGTTCACAGTTTTACAGGTTTCAGTCAATAGTCTAAGGGCAGGGCGGCACGGCAGAGGGGCATGACAGGAGAAACAGCTCATGGCATGGCAGCAGCAGGAAGAAGAGAGCAATCAGAGGAGGAGGGAGGGTGGCCACACTCCCAGTGACCCACCTCCTCCAACCAGGCTTCACCTCCCAACATCATGCTTAGCTATAAACTTGTCAGTGGATTATTCCCATAATTATCCCCAGTATCTCGCTCCCATAATCTAATCACATCCCTAAAGCCCCACCTATGAAAGCATGTGGTTTTTGGGGACAGCTCAATAGGAACCATGACACATATTTAGTACATTCTCCTTCTTGCAGGTGAAATACATTCATGCATCCCCAAAGGACACAACCACAATCCCATCCAGTCAAAGCATCTGGACAACGCCCAATTTAGGCTCTAAATTAGGGTACAATTCAAACACATTTCTATACAAACCCTGGATGTGGCTGGTCTTGATCTTGAGATTTCAAACAAAGAAGACAAGTTTTCTATTCTTCACTCCCCTCACACTGTGAATTAGTGTAGCAAAATAAAGATTAGATAACTCATTTTATCTGCCCTTCTGAAATGGAGTGAATGGGAGATACCCAGCAGTCACCAGTTTTTCGGTACTTCTAAGATGCTGAAGCAATTCTGAAATCCCTCTGGCTTTGCTGCCTTGGGGCTCTGTTTCTCCCTGGGAGGACCTGCCTATTCCACGGTTTATTTTCCCCTCTTGGCACCACTCCTTGGCAGCCTGTCTTTTTCCAGTACCCCCCTTGACCTCATCTGTTAAATAAAAGTTACAAGAGGCCATTGTTGTGGAGTAAACTTCTATACTAGGCCTCAATAGACTAGGCTTACAACTGAAATGGAGTCACTTGTGAAAAAGTTTTGGGTCACAAGTCTAAACTAAGTAGTTTATCTGACTTTCTGAGAAATCAAGATTAGAGAGGTAACAGCCAAATTTTCCTACAGGCCAGTGTCAATCGGCATGGTAGTGAAGTTTCCTCTGTCTTATTCTTTATGCAAAAGAAGTAACTTGATGTTAACCTATCAGTTATTTTTCTATTGTTTTGTGTCCCTGTCCCTGCCTTATAAGGAAAGCAACTTTGAAATGACCAGTTTACTTTTTGTTCATTTGTTTCTGTGTTCTTCAGCCTTTTCTGTCTATAAAGCCAACTTCCTTTGCTCAGACCACTGGAACATTTGTTCTGTTGTGTCCCATCCTAGAACTGAAAATAAAGTCAGGCTGGGGTTAATTGTGCTTAGTACACCCAAGGGCCTAGGTTTGATTCCCAGTGGGGGAAAAAACTCATTGTGGAAAATAAAATCAAAACTAAATAGTTCTCATTTTGTGCTTTGATAGGTCCAACATGTACACTGAAGAATGTGCCTTCTTTAGAAGCCGAGCAGCTTTGACTATCTTCTGGCTTAGAGAAATGAGTACTCCACAGTTCTTTTGGGTCTTGGACCATTTTTCCAGCCATTTGAGTTCAGGCTTATGGTTTTCTTGGCAGTATACCTCTTTTTCAAAAGTAAAGCTGAACTACATGTATGTGCCACTGTACCTGGTTTAAACTCAGTTTTAACATTATGGTTCAAGTTTAGTTAATGAATTCTGCTGAGGGAAGGGAAGTGGAAGGCTCTGGCATTTGGTGTCTCCTTTGGATTTGTTCTGTATTCACTGCAGAGCATTTGACAGCACATTAACTTTCCAAGATGCTTTTAAATAATGTCAACCTGTTCAGGTACCTCAGCCCTGTTAATAGCAATAAAAATAATTGTGATAGAGATTCACTTAGCATTAGATAAATATCTGAAACAAATCAAGTACTTATATACCTAGAAGCAAGCCTTTATTTTTCAGACCTTGGCAGGAGATGTAGTTATTTTTGGACCTGCAGGGGCCATGGTTCCTCTTGTGTAGTATTCCTACACCTGCAGACTTGGAACCATTGGGGAATTTGGGCACAGGAACTTACACCATCAAATTAAATCAACATCTATGGGAAAGGAGACCAGAAATGAGAGTTCAAAGCTTTCCAGATGACCTTCACTCACATTAGGCCTGAGAACTTCTAGGCATTCAGGAAAGAGAGTTTCTCTGCTTAATACAAAAAGAAATAGATGTAACACAAATAATTCTTACATTTCTGTCTCCTTAGGGATAATCAGGTCTGCTCATCATCTCTCAAAGTTCCCTTTCTCTCCCTTTCTCCTTCCTAAATATTGTGGACCTTGTGGTTTAGAGACCAACTCTTGGTATACCCAGACCTCTCTTGGCACATCCCGTGTAGCTGATTTTTCCTCTGTGATTGGAACAGATTGGATTCTTTGGCCACAAATCTGATTAAATAGCATTTGGGAGCTTTTATATATGTAAAAACATACATATCTTTAAAACTGGGACAGCACTCATCTTGGCAAGATACTGAAGCCTCAAGAAGCACAATTAAGACTGGCATAGGGAATTGCAGAATCATGTTTCTCATCTCACTCAATCCTGAGGCCAACTCATTCATTGAGTCGAGTGTGGGCAGAGTCATGGGCATCACTGGCCTCATGAATTTCTGTGCCTTATAATTGAATTCAAAGAAATTCAATATTAAGTGCATTTTGTTCTTGAATATTCAAAAATTAAACTTTTTTTTTTCACATGTATAGGATTTATTAGCACTCTCTTTCTGTCTTCTAGCATTCCCATGGTTCGGCATGGATATCGGTGGAACTCTGGTTAAGTTGGTCTACTTTGAACCAAAGGATATTACAGCCGAAGAGGAACAAGAGGAGGTGGAGAACCTGAAGAGCATCCGGAAATATTTGACTTCTAACACAGCTTATGGGAAATCTGGGATCCGAGACGTCCACTTAGAACTTAAAAACCTGACCATGTGTGGGCGCAAAGGGAACCTGCACTTCATCCGCTTTCCAAGCTGTGCCATGCACACATTCATTCAGATGGGCAGTGAGAAGAACTTCTCCAGCCTCCACACCACCCTCTGTGCCACAGGAGGTGGGGCTTTCAAGTTTGAAGAGGACTTCAGAATGGTAGGTCAGGCTTGTCTCTGTTAAAAGCTTCTCACATTCCATAATCGTGGTATTCCATGCTTGAGAGCAAGTCTACTAGCCTTGGGACTTGGACAAATTTACTTTAGTTCTGTACCTCAGTTTCCTCATCTATAGCTCCTACCTCGTAGAATTGGTACAATAAGGCTTAAATAAACTGGCTTCAGTGACACACACCTGTAATCTTAGCTGCTTAGGAGACTGAGACAGGGAGAGCACATGTTTGAGGCTGGCCTGGGCAACTTAGACTCCACCTTTATAAAGTTAGTAAAGGAAAGGAAAAAAACAAGAAGAATTAAATGAGATATAATATTTATGTGGTACTTAGTAAGTACTCAATATATACTAGTTATCATCATCATCTTCATTTCTTTTACAGTTCATGCTATGTGCTGTCCTAAAGACAAAATGATATAAATCCCTTTCTAAAGTATATATTTCAGTTAGAGTTTCCCACAGACTTTTACTACAAAATGATGGTGCTGGTTTCATGTCTATATCTGTATCTATATGTATATCTGTATCTTACTGAGGCCCACAGGAAGGCTTTCTGTAAATCCTACTGTAAATTACTTCTTTCTACCTATTTATTCTTGTGTCTTTTTTTATATTCAGAGGTTTTGCTCACAAATAAATATGAAATCTTCAATATTATTTGTAGATAAATTTGTTTATTGGTGAATCCCATTTAGGGAATATGATTTTTTGTAATAGGGATACTGCTACGTGCAGATGGGCAGTATATGTCAGTATGCACTGCCTATTTAGATTTGACAAATGCTGTTAAATGTAAGATATAGACAAGTAAGATGAAGTGCAAAGTTTTTTATTTACCCGTCTCTTAACATCTATGTGTTTCATTTTTCCCATGTCTTGTAGTCAAGATAATAATCTTTATATTGCCTAATTTCTTCTCACAGAGTAAAGTGAAAATAAAGTTAAGCAATAAATAGATGTAGATAAATCTTGGAAAATAAAGGGAGCTAAATTTTAAAAAAGATTGAACATACAAGAAGGAAAGATTGGAAGATTTTAGGATTAATTTTATCATAAAGTTGAATATATACTGAGGTAAGTATAAAATACATTTTCTCAATGGATCAATAATCCTAGCTACCAGGGAGTCTGAGGCAGGAGAATTGCAAGTTCAAGTGCAGCCTGGGTAATTTAGTGAGATCCTGTCTCATAATTTTAAAAGGGATGAGGTTGTAGCTTAGTGGCTGAATGCTTGCTTACCGCACCTGAGGCCCTGGGTTTAATCTCCAGCACCACAAAAAGCAAACAGAAATTATATATTATTTTCTCAAAGCCTGTGGTATCATTTACTGCATTTTGTGATAGAAGTAATGTAACCTACTCTTGCTATAAAGTCTGTCATCGGTGAATAACAAACCAGCACATTCTTCATAGTATTTAATATAGCTATAAATATGAATTTTATTTGTGTCATCAAACATAACACCATTTACCTCATTGATTTTAGTTAAGTAATTTCTATAGGACTCTGTCAATACAGAGCCCTAGACAAGTATCCTAAGTAAGACCGATTATCGTCAGGTTTTGGCTTTTTACTTCTGTGTCCCCTTTTTCCTACCCAGCAGTGGATTTTGATACTACCACTTAATTAAATAACCCATAGGATCTTTTTCACACCCCACTAGTTCAATGACCAGGTTTGAAACTGAAAAGATTAAGGTCCATGGACATGAGAACTAAATTTGAGTCCCTAATTGAAAAAGGGTTGAACGTGAATTCTAGTACTGTTTCTGCATTTACCTAGGTGGGTACTTCGGGGAAGACAGCCCTCCTGTGGGGCATGTATGTCCTTTGCAAAAAAGTTGGATGTAGGGTAGAGAGAGGAGGGAGGATTTCTAGGACATCAGAATTGGAAGTGAACCCTGGAGATGATCAATTATAGCATGCTTGTGTGATGAGCATGAGGACACTGAGGCATATGCATGACATGCATGAAAACACTAAAGCTTACAGGATGATCAAGAGCTTCTACATTAGTAATGCCTCCTAAGTAAGATCCAGGTGTTCTGTGAGCTCACCAGTCACTCAAGGACACAGTGCCTATTTCCACTGGAGAGCCTAACTTGAGTAAGGTGACTTAGGACATTTATGCAATCTCTATCAGTGCCTCCATCCCTCTCCTGGGGTAATGTACGTCCTGGGAGAAAGTTACTCAATAAGTGTTGGCCATGAGCAAGTGTGTTTCTCAAGGTTCTAAACTCGGAAATGTCATACTCTCCTTCAAGCAGTCTCCTGGAGGTTAATGAGTAGATTGGAACAGGGAGCACATCTGGAGTATTTACTAAATAGTCTAGCCAGCTTAGGTGTTCATCTATGAAAGCAAATTCCCTGGGCTTCCCTTCTGTTTCTGTGTTCAGTGTTGGCCAAAGTGAAAACATAATTGAAAGAGACATCTCTTTCCATATCCTGTGTGACACTGCACTAAATAATGTGCCTGTATGATTCCAAAGTATGTCAGGATGAGTAGGTTTTACCATCCTCTTTCCTAAGCATTTATTCACTCACTTAAAAAATGATTTATCACGCTGCTTCTCTGTGCTAAGTACTGTGAAGAGCAAAACAGAGCTCCTGTCCTCCCTGCCGCCCGCCTTGAGCTTATATTCTAGTAGAACAGATAGTCATAATCAAATCCATAAGGCAATATAGGATCATCAAATGGTGCTAAGTGCTGTGAAGGGGAAAGTAAAAGCAGAGTAAGTTGGATAGGGAGTTTTGTGATGAAGTCACAATGGCAGAAAGATCAGAAGTAATAGAGCAAAACCACAAAGGTCTGGGAAAGAATATTTTAGGCAGACAGAACAGCAAGTGCTAGGGAATTTAGGTGTGCAAAATACAAATTCTCTTTTTTTGGAATAGAAAATTGAATAGAATAGAAAATTATTCCTTAATTGGAAAGGATCAATATATACTATTGTGTATTTTAATTTAATAAACAATAAAACAGTGCATATACATAAAGTTCTGTTACTGTTATTTTATAAAACCACTGTTTTTGGTGTAATGAACTTGGCAGATAGGAATTTTAAAAAGCCACCTGAGTAATGAGGGCTAGGCAAAAAATATGTAAACAGAATAGTTAGCAATTATTAGGTGTGATGTATCCTTGTTATATGTAGTAAATGTCTTAAATCCTTAAATAATGTTAACTATTCTACATCCCATTTAGAATGTACAAGAAAGAGCCATAAACCATGAAACAAGTATTAAATTAGACCTCTATGTAAATACTTTCAATTGGACAAAGTTACATTTCGATTTTATTTCATTTTCCTTCTCTCCCTCCCTTCATTTCCTTTTCTTTTTTTAACATTTTAAGATCACCATTCCAAAGTTATGACTAGCAAAATTTTAAAGTTATGACTAGCAAAATTTAGTTTTCAAAATTAGTGATATACTTAATCTAACTTTAAGTAGCCTACAACATTGATTAGTCAGTGAGGAAACCCATGCTTTAAAAAAGTGGTCCTCCAGTTGGGGAATCCTACATGGGTGTACACTAAGACACAGAACACTGTAGGTTTCTGCTCATTTTGTATTTATTCCCACTATATTTTGTAAGTTTTGTTTTAAAGAACTCAGCAGAATTTGTTCTTTATTAGTCATAATATTTTTATCCATTACCATACTTCTTAATTTCAACAAGAATATTCTTAATAATACAAAGCATTCCTAACATCAAACAATATTTATAGAAAAAATAGTCATCCTTTCTGCCCAGGTAGCTCTTTATTCCAGTTGATACTTATGAGTTTTGTTCAGTTCAAAGTTAATATTATTTGTAAATTATAAAAGATTCTTAATAATGTACTTAAATTATAAGATGTTCTGTCTTAGTAACTGGCTCATAGCAGGGGAAAAAAAGATACCCAACACCCACGGGTTAAAGGAAGAAAGGTTTATTTTGACTCAAAGCTTTTAGAGGACTTCATCCGTAGTTGACTGGCTCCAAAGCAGGAGGGGCATGGTAGAAGGCTGTGGTGGAGGAAAGGTGCTCATACCATGGCAGCCAGGAAGCAAAGTGAAGGGAGAAGCCTTACTGCACATTCAGCTATAGAGTCATCATAGATTAATCCACTGACAACTATGGTGCCTTCATGACCCAATCACTTTCTAAAGCTTAGCCTTTGCACACTTGAGCCTTTTGGGGGACATTCAAGACCTAAATCATAATACATCCCCTTTGAATAAAAAGGATATAAAAACAGTCATTTGATTAATGTGAGATTTAGAACAGAGGAAAAGATTTTCTGATTGTTTTCATCAATTTTAAGAAGGCCTTATTCCAGATACTCCAAGAGAACAGCCCTAAAATGTTAGTAATGGTGGTGGGAAAAAGATTATCATGAAAGGATATGATAACTATGAGTATGTGGAATCTGATTGGACCGTTCAAGTACATTTATTTATTAGGTTGGTTCTTATTAATCTAGGGACTGATTTGTGATATTACGGGTTCTAAGGTTTGGTAGACTCTGTCATTTTCATTTCATTTCATTTTCATTTCATTTTCCCTTCTGGCTTGACACTTGACCAGTCATACATGGCCCCTTTCATCATTGGCTGGGGGAAGAAAAGCCATTTATGAGTTCTTTTTTAAAAAATACATTTAATACTCACTGAACTTACTTAAAATTCAGTTCTCTCAGGTTTCTGTTACATCTCTTTGTGAAAAGAAATGAAACTTGCATATAATTTGTATTTCAGAATGAACCATTTTTTGTACACATTGTTCTTGATTTAGTAATATACTAATAGCCACTCAATTTGATTGATGGTGCCAGTGTCCCCAAAACCGCCATGGAAAACTGGGCATAGGTACATAGGATAGCTGTATTCTCAGCTGTTTGGAGGCTGAGGCAAGAGGATCAAAAGTTTGAGGCCAGCCTGGACAGCTTAGATACTAGCTCAAAATAAAAATAAAAAGGACTGTGTATAGAGCCCAGGCT